AATTGCTTTTTAAACTAAAAATCTATAGTATAAACTAGAAAAGTCTCCCCGTGCATATAGTGAGAGATTTTTATATGAAAATTCAAGAAAAATAATTACACGTCTTTAAAAGTAACTTATATTTATGATATAGAAGTATCTTTTTGAAATGTACTGATAATAAAGACCGAAGAAAACCAAATCACTATCAAGTGATCAAGGTCTCAAATCTGGATCATTTGTCGTTTATGGAAAAATAAGTTAGTCATTTTCCTTTTTTTCTTTTTTTGGTATCCAAAATTTATATTAGTTCAATATAACATTTCCAGTTTTAAAACATCAACTATGTATTATCAATATACGCAGACATATGGAGCACTAATAACAAATGAACCCCGCTATGATCCACAATAATCTCCTATATTTTGTAATATAAACACAATTAGTGATTCAGTTACGATTTTTATATTCTACTGCCATTTATCTTGAGTGAACAACATTGTATTTTTTTTTATATTAGAAACAATCCTATTCAAGGTATTATCAAACATTATATGTAAAAACATTTCTAATAGAGATTAGAGCCTTAGTTTGTTATATTATGAGAAACTAACCCTTTCTGCTAAATTTAATTATTACTACGACTATTTTTGAAATATTGACTACACTATGCAGGGGAGCACTCATTACAATAAATGCCACCAGGACTACAACCACGACTGCCATTATGAAATATTGTTCCATTACCAATATTGGATTTGTTATCATTGTGGGCCATACCAATACCTCAATGTCCATCTTATCATTATTGTTACCACTACGATAATATCATCAACCTTATCACCAAAGTTATCAACATATGCTCAAAGGTTGAGAGTCCTCCCACTTGCCCCCAGTTCGAATCTGACACGGAGAGGTGAAGAGTTAAAGAAGAAGCTGAGGTATTCTTTTTTTTTTAAAAAAAAAGTTATCAAAACCTATCATTCATTGAAAGCCAGGCCAATCAGTAAACTGGTCTAATCATGATTAAATCATAGTCAATCCAATCATATTTAAAATAATTTAATTTAATTTGAATATAAAAAATTTATATATAACTTTGATAAGGGTAATATTTAATAGAAAAGACATTAATCCACAAGGAAATGGAAAATTGACCGTTCAGATTAGGTTTTAATACCATCATTATATGAATTCTCAAGAAGACATTTGGAAGTTGTTTTTGTCATATTGATTTTGACTTTCAGGCGCATTCATATGACAAGAGAACGTAAGTCGCCCACAATTCAAATATGTAATCTTTGAATCCAGACAAGTGAATGGATTGCATTTTTCATTATCAACGTTCTTTGGAGGTACTCCAAGCCACCATACTTGACCCTCGGATCAAATAATGGAGTAAATGATTATGGCCATCCATTGAATCTCTTCTTGAGAGTGGAATTAGCTTACCATCCACACTGAATTTCTCTTTTTTGGGAAATTGAACTAGATATTACTGATATTTCTATCCTTAGGACCAGAGTTAGTATAAGATTTATATTTTATATTCAGTTTTTTAAAAATTATTCTTAGTAATATTTCTCAACAATAATCAACTTAGTGATATTCATCAACAATAATCAAGTAGCTAGAGATGTGTGGTATTAAAGAAAATAATTAATATATTTTATAAAAAAACAAGTTTCATGTTTATTATAAATTAACTAAATTATCTATTTTTTTAATCTAATCAAATTAGTTAAATAATAAGTTTTATATTAAAAATCATATACATACATTAAGTCTTCGCCTGAAGAATTTAAATTGGATATCTTCTTTTGAAAAAAAATAATATAAAGGATCTCCACAAGCTTCCAATTAACGTTCTTTTGGGGCTACTCAAAAGCCTACTGTTATTGATAATGTGCTCCTCAAAGAGTCAAAGTGGCAAGGAAGAAATTAATTGGAAAAATTGTAAAAAAAAGACCTTGGAATTGCAAAAACGCAGATAGAGACCATTGACAACTTCACTTTAGGTTTTAACAAGAATAATATGCCCTGAAAATGTCAAAACCCAAAGTGAAGTTGTAAAGGGTCCCTATCTGTGTTTTTACAATTCCAATATCTTTTTTTGCAATTTCTCCAAATTAATTAAAGACCACACAATTTTTTTTTTTGTAATTTTTGTCTCCGTCATTACAAATTGCCAATTCTTTTTCAACTAACACTTTACGATCTCCGTCCATCTGCATCTTTCACAATTTTTGTTTTTTTATTAAATACAAATATCTTTTTATCAGAAGTCTCTTCTATACAGTTTGTACACAATTCTTTTAATAGAAATTTAAAATTTAGTTTGTCACATTATAAAGGTTAAAATATACTTAGTCTTTTAACTTTGTATAAAGTTTTATTTTGATCTGTTAACTTTAAAAAGTAAATTTTTAGTCCTCTAACTCTAAAATTGTTATCAAAAAATAATATTGAGCTCTTAAATGCTGATAAAACATTACTAAATACTAACATATCAAATTTAATATTCAAAACAACCATGATTGTTACAAAAAATCATTATTTAATATTAATAATTTTAAGATTAAAAGACTAAAAATATACTTTTAAAAATTAAAAGATTAAACTAAAACTTTATATAAAATTAAAAAACTAAATATATCCTTTAGCCCGTCATAAAAGATTGGCCTAACTCTTCTACCATCGGAACTCGTTCTCTGGAAGAACGAGTTTTGCACCTTCATTTTTAAAAAAATAATGTTTATTTATAAAAACGGTGGCAAGGATAGCCTGCCACCTGCTCCCTTGACGTCTCCTCCTTGTGCACCTCATCCCACTCCCCTCAACATTTTCCTCCTCACGTCACTTTTTTCATCATCTTCCCGTGTGCACATGCGCACACATCACGTATGATTATAATATTAATTTATATATAATATAATATATTTAAAAACTAAAATTAAATAAATTAATTAATACATACAATTTTTAATTTTTTTTGTTAAAATGCAGTTGACTAATTTAAAAAATTAAAAACATTACTAAATCATGTAATATAGGTGCAGAAGGGGAAATGGCAGGCTATCCTTGCCACCATTTTTATTAGAAAAACATTATTTAAAAAAATGAAGGTGCAAAACTCGTTCTTCCAAAAAAAACGAGTTCTGTGTATTTTTAAAATTACACCTGTCTTGAATGATTTTAGACGTAGTATCCTGATAAATAATTAATATTACTGTTTTGGCTCAAGAAGCTGACAAAAAAATTTTTATAGATATATTTTACATAAGTTAAGATAAAAATTTTTTTACATACTTATTTTTTATTTCATAAATTATGATTGAAAAACTATTTATAATTTGAGTAACATTTTTTATTTGTGAGAAAGTTTAACTAATGTCTTATACTCCCTCTTGTTCAAAATACGAGCTACACTTTGTTGAATGGGTTTATTTTTTATTTTTATAAAATAACATTTACTTTTTTCTTAGTATTAATTTTTTAATTTTACCCTTATATATTCTCTTTCCTCTTTGATTCATTTATTGTATTTTTTACTAATTATCTTCATTAATAACAGTATATTTGAGGGAAAAAAATACATGACTTACATATTTATTGTTTTAAACTGATTTTAACTAATTTCTTAATAAACACAAATGGATAAATTTTATCTTATAATTTGAACCAGAAAAAGTATTATATTATGGATTAGATGGAGTAGTTAGGAAAAACCATTTTTGAGGTCCCTGTAATTTTCTTGAATTTCTAATTAATTAGTTTGGTATTTGTATGCTTTTTCTCTCCCTATCAAATCCTTTAATTTCATTCTATTAACGCCATTAACCCCTGAAACTTTGCTCTGTTTAATATTATTAGCTCTTCTACAGAAGCTAATTATGTTAATAGCATACAATTAAAGGATTTAATAAAAAAAATAACACACAGGTACCACATTAATTTAACATAAATGTGCTATTAATTTTTTCTGCCAAATCTTTATTTTAAAATTTAACAAATTTTGAACTTTATCTCTATTTTACATATAGACTTTTCAACAAAATAACAATCAACACAAGAAAAAATGAGGGTAAAATAGTACATTTCTGTTAAAAATGTGATAATATGACTTATAAATAGAATTAAAATCTTCTCTCTCTACGTTATAAATAGAGCTAGAATAATAATATATAAATAAGTGAATTATGCAAATAAAAAAGTTGGTTAAAAAAGATAGATAGTGAAAAAAGTATTTTATTTTTTTTTTAAAAATACTCTTATTTATAGGGAGAGAAAGTTAAGGAGAGAGATGATAAGTAGGAAAAAGATGTGTGTGAGAAATAAATAATGCAGTACATAAAATGTGATTAATAAGAAAAGAAATTGGCAATAAAATTAATAGATAATGAAATGAAAAAAATAGGTTAAAATTTCAGACATTGTTTAAGTGTGGACTAATCCACATCCACCTCGAAAAATTCTTTCTCATGTGGATTTAGTTTAATTTGGAGTTCTGGACAACTTTAAATATAAATCAGTTTTCATGAAGTTTAGGAAAAAATTGAATTTTCTTAATATGGATTTTAGGTTTATGGTTCTCTTTTTTTTTTTTTTTTGGATAACATTAGGTTTATGGTTCTTTCACAAGCTGTACTAAATTTTAGAATTCAGCAAATAATAATTGCCATCATTTATGGGCGATAAAAAGTTCTTCCCTCTTGTTGACATATTCTTAGACACGATTTTTCAAAACAAGGGGCATCGAAGGGCCCCACACACAACGGAAGTATTCATTGGCCTGAAAGGGGTATGTGAGAGAAAGTCCTGCGAAAAAGGCTGAGACTTCTGCCATCGCATCTCATCTTCTTTTTCTTTTCTTTTTTGGGTGCGTCTCCTTTTAGTAGTTTATAATTACTTTTTTCGTAGAAATTTTTTAAACAGTACTAAAATAATTTGAACACGGAGAAGTATGAATGTGTATTATTCCAGGATGCTCCATATTTGCAGCTGTAATTGACTTGTTAAACATGGGAAAACTTGCTTCCTCTGTTTTCGTTCTCTTCCTTCACTACTTTTTGGGCTCCTTGGCATGGAGCAAGGGGAATTCCACCGTCGACAAATCTGCACTCCTTGCTTTTAAGGCATCTATTGTGGATCCATATAATCTCCTAGCCAACTGGTCTGACTCTTCTGCTTCTTCTCCCTGTGATTGGGTTGGTGTTGGATGCAATACTCATCACGGAAGGGTTCATTACTTGAATCTTAGTGATACAGGTCTTAAAGGCATCATATCTGCACAGCTAGGAAATCTATCATTCCTTGTTGAACTTGATCTAAGCATCAATGATTTTTACGGTGAGATACCAAAAGAGTGGGTACAATTGCGTAGGTTGAAACTGCTCAACTTGAGCTACAATGACTTTCATGGGCAAGTTCCAACATGGATAGGAGGTTTATCTATGCTTGAGTACCTGAGTTTTCGAAATAATAGTCTTATTGGATCTATTCCATTATCTCTATTCAATTTATCAAGGTTAGAGATCTTGGATTGGAATTCTAACTTCATTCAAGGAAGCATTCCACTTGAGATAGGAAGTTTGAAGCACTTGAAGATGTTACAAATTGCAGGGAACAAGCTTTCTGAAACTATTCCACCTACAATTTTCAGCCTATCTTCACTTCAAAAATTGAATTTGTCTCATAACACTTTGTCAGGTATGTCCTGGATGATTTGTAGTGTCTATAGGTGTTGGTTCCTGATGTTTTAATTTTCTCTTGCTTTCCATGTTTTGTATCTTTCAGCACGCCGTAGGAATGACACCTTGGTCTATGGATATTAGTCCAGCAGATTGGAACGCTCATGGCTTTTTGAAAATAATTATTTATTTTAACATTTAAAGTATGTTAGAGGCGTTATCTCTCAAAATGAGTAAGAAGATTATGGTCTCAAGCGCATGGATTATAAGGTTAAAGTATAAATTTGTGCTGAAAGTTTTCATGGAGGAGCACTAAGGGTTTTAAAGCTTTTTTGGATTTAATGTTGTCCTGAAAGTTTAAAATCATAACAATATTGCCTCCTATCATTAAAAGGCTAACATTGACCGTTAAAATAATAACATTGATTATTAACAGTTTTAATGGTATGGGGCAATTAAACTTCGCAATAATATTGAAGCCAAAAAAACTTTTGAGACTATTTTACACCTTGACCCTTGACTATATTAACTTATGACGTTACTGACGTACTCCATGTTTTCAATATTCCAAATGAAGATATTGTATATCTCACAAACAATTGATCGCTTTCAGGTACTATACCATCTTCATTATTTAATAATTCAGAGCTGCAAGAATTGTCACTCTCCCAAAATCAATTACATGGCAGTCTCCCAACCAATGTGTGTATTGGGCTCCCAAGACTTGAATTTTTCTCTGTGGCTGAAAACGATCTCTCCGGTGAAATGCCATCTAGTTGGCATCAATGCAAAGAACTGAAAGTTTTGGAATTAGGTTTTAACAGATTCAACAGAGGATACATACCAAGCGACATTGGAAATTTACCCAATCTTCAAGTTTTGAATCTCATGAACAACAACTTGGAAGGTATGAGTTCTAACTATAAACCCTTGATAGGTTAATTGCAAATTTATTTTCATAATGTTTATAGGTCATTAATTTGTAACACAAATTATCTGGATATATAGTAAACAATTAATATTCCACTGGATTACTTTCCAAAACACGGATAAGCAAAGCATTAAACATGTAATTCAAGCAGTGTCAATATGCTGTGGATTGTAGATAGTTTAATATGACAGTGAATATCAATGAAACAATATGAAATAAAAATATCCATTTTTTTTTTATATTTCATTAACTCATCCACGCCATAAAAATATCGACTTCCCAAGTCAGAGTGATTTTAGAAAATAAATAGTATTTTTACATATTTATTATTATTTTTAACCAATTTTATAGAATCATATTAAATGACTCCATCTTCTAAGTGTTTTGGTGGAAGTGTAATTTAAAAGTCAAGGTAGACTCTTTTTTTTTTTGGCTCAGTATGTTTAAGCTTTGTACTTTTGTTTATTAATGTGAAATTAGTTTTTCATAAAGAGAAAGGTAGACTAACATCATCAATTGGCAATATTATATTGCACGTTATTTGAATATTTATATCTGGAAGAAAAATCCTTAACAGGTATATTCTCAATCTACTCAGCCACCAATTTTATTATTTAACAAAATTTAATTTATCATATATAATATATGTGGGTACGGGCGAAAGCAAAGCTTGTTCTATATTATCTCCAAAATTTCTAATTGAAAATACTTTAATTCCTTAAATAAAAATAAAAATTCTTTTACGGTTATATCTTGTAGCAGAATCAGTGTTCTATAGTCAATACTCAATAGTAATAAATTAGAACAGGACTCTTGAAAAATGCATGCATGATTAAAAAAAGCATATATGGCTTATCATTAAGAGGAGCTTTTACTAAAATATAGGCTTAATAAGCAAGGCATATGGGTTATTAATAGTATAATATTAATTATCGTTTTGCTGAAATTAAATTTTAAATTAAACAGGAGAAATTCCATCATCTCTCTTCACCAATTCTTCTTTAAGAATATTACGTTTAAGACAAAACGGTTTCACTGGGAGTATACCAACTCTTGGGAATCAGACAATGCTGGAAACTTTAAATCTAAATAACAACTCCTTTTCAGGTATGGTCAATCTACTCATCCATCAATTTGAAGCTTCAACAAAATTCCATTTATTATTTGCAAAACTTATATTCTACATCATCTCTAAAATTCATAAATTGTTTTTTCCCAGGTGAAATTCCTCAATCTATCTACAACACACCTTCTTTGAGAATAGTTGACTTTACCTATAACTATTTAAAGGGCAATTTGCCAGAAGAGATGTGCTATAGACTCCCTTTACTTGAAGTTTTTGCAGTTTCTCTTAATCATTTTGAGGGAAGTATTCCAAAGTCAATAAGTAACTGCACATATCTGCGAAGCTTATTTTTGAATGATAACTCATTTTCAGGTACGCGCAAAGAGTTGTGTGCGGGTGTGTTTATATTTTTGTCACATGTTTATATAGTAATTTCATTCAAACATTCTAACATGAAAAGAAATGATTGTGATCTTTAATTAAAACTTAATGATATCTTCCAACGGGCACATACATACTTGATAATTCCAATCCTTCTTTTGATAAATTACAAAACCAAGGACATGCTCTTGTTAGCCTATATATATTACTACCCTAGTCCTTAATATAAGATTTAGTTGACTATTTTGGAGAGATTAAATAAGTTATTAAATTACTTTGAAATATTTATGTTTATCGCTTTTATCCAAACTAATTTGCTTCATTTATAAATTGATATATGATCTAATAATTCGCCTAAATGTTTTAGAGATCATGTAACATATGTTATAATTAAGTAATTTAATAACCTTATTAATTTCCTTAAATTAGTCAATTGGGCTTTATATTAAGGATCAAAATCATATAACACTAAAATTTGAGACAGAAATTGCAAAATATTTATTTGTAGTTTTATTAATATGTATTAAAAAGTATCATAAAAATTGTAATTATTTAGAAGGATCAAATTTAAAAGTATACATTTAAAGTATTAAATTTTTCCTCGTCTAACCTCGCGCATTCCGTCCTACGTACATTTAAAATTAAAAAGAATAAAACTAAAACTAAAATTAAAAATGCCTATCATCCACATGACTATATCTTTTTTCAACTTTTATTCCTCACCGACGTCCATATTCTATCCTCTTTCCTATCATCATGGTATCATTTAATTATTAATATCAATTTTTATCCATTTCTTTGACCAGCAATCAATATTTATCCATTTCTATCATCAATTATTTTTTGTGATTTATATTGTCAATTTAAAATTTATAACGTCAAATTATGAACAAACTATTGTGGATCTCATGAAATTATGTAAAAAGAATCATGTTATTTATAATTTTAGTTTGTGAATAAATAGTATGAATAAATGGTATGATTTATTAGAGTTTTATATTATGTGTATATTATAAGATTCACTCCTCAAAATCATTCAAGAAGAATAATCTAATCCGTTCATCATATATCTTTTTTTTAAATATCATGAATCCATATATATATGATCTATATATAAATATAAGAGCAAATAATTAAAAAATTTATAAACATTACATGGATTTTTTATATTTGTGACTCACATAAATTTCTTATTAAAAAAATTAAACAAACTTCCTTTTAATTTTTAATGGGTTAATTTTATTTTTATTTTCTAGATATATATAACATTTCTTTAAATGAAAATAATTACATCAAGTTCTTTATATTGATCATGTTACACATGACCATATGTCCTATTTTTAATATATTAACATTTAATTATAAATTTACATGAAACAAAAAAGGACACATGGATATATACGATTGGAGAACTTAACAATACTAAAAGTATATTTTTTTATTTTTAATTAAAATCTGTTATGATCTTAAAAGTAAAACTTAAATTGTGTCAAAATTGAACGTAACAGTGTTCGTGTAATGTTTTTCAAGGGATGTCTATGCAAGCAGTAATTTTGTTTAATTTAGTAAAAAAATTTAGTAAAATTTAAAGTTTTAAAAATAGAATGCGGCAGAGATAATGTAAGAGGTTTAATTTGATTAGGGATAATTTAGTATTTTTAAATTTATATTTTGATTTTTAGTTGTTTAAGTAATTATAATTTTTATGATCATTATCGATAAATATCATTCTCTCTAGGTTCTTCGTTCTAATTTTTCCTGCATAGAATCCTTGCCCGAAAATTAGACAGAGTCTTTTGTGACACAAGGAATGATAAAGATGTTACCCACATGTAAATTGCTAGGTTGGATGTAACTAATTTCTTACATGGATGAAATTAGTTTCCTCTCTTTCCTATATTTAGTTGTAGACTTCCTAGCATAGGAAAAATTTGAAATTAATAAGATATCTGGGGTTTTCTTGTAATATAGAGAAGTGAATTCAAATTTTTGAAACATATATACTACTTCCAATCCTTAATATAAGAACTCGTTTGATTTTTATTTTGATCCTAAGTATAAGAGCCCAATTTACTTTATCTCTCACATTCATCTATTTTTTCCCAAAATAGTCCTTATAATAATGGTAATTTTAGCCAATATACTTGATTAGCAAGTATATTTTAATTTAAAAACACATATTTATTATAAATATAACTTAACTAATTTTCTTAATTTACTCAATTAGTCAACTAGCTCTTATATTGAGGATGGGAAGTAGGATGCTACAGGAACAACCACGTACAAAACATATCATGTTACATGTTTTGTCAATTTTCTACTTCATATAAATTTTATCATCCATCAACTTTTGTTTTCTAAGTTAGTTACCCAACAGCTTTTCATCTTGTTTCCAGGTCTTATACCCAAGGAGATAGGCAATCTTGATAAGCTTGAAGATTTGATTTTAGTAACTAATCATTTCAGTGGATCCATTCCTTCTCATATATTCAACATTACGACATTGAGACGTGTCTACCTTCAAGATAATTTCTTTTCTAGCTTTCTCCCATCAAATTTAGGAATTGGCCTTCCCAATCTGCAGGAACTAATGTTGGGACAAAATCAATTTATTGGACAAATTCCAATCAGCATCTCAAATGCTTCTAAGCTCACTACTGTAGATCTATCATGGAATAAGTTTAGTGGAGATATACCCACTACGCTTGGGAATCTAACAAACATGATCGCATTATATTCTGAGGAGAATGATTTGAATGGGATGATTCCAAGTACAATTAACAGACTGCAAAACCTTCAACATTTAAGTCTTAGCAACAACAGATTGCAAGGGTCCATCATAAATGAATTGTGCCAAATCAAAAGTTTGAGTGAATTGTATCTAGCCAACAACATGTTTTCAGGAATGATTCCAAAGTGCTTCACAAATACTTCTTTGCGGAGGTTGAATTTAAGCTCTAACAAATTGATTTCTCATATTCCTTCTTCGCTTTGGAGTCTTGAAGATATGTTATTCTTAGACTTATCCTCCAATGCATTGGGTGGAAGAATTTCTCTAGAGGTGTCAAACTTGAAAGCAATTATACTTTTCAATTTGTCAAGAAATCAAATTTCAGGAAACATCCCGACAACTATGGGCAATTTGAAAACATTGCAAAATCTATCTTTGGCTCATAACAAACTCCAAGGGTCTATTCCTGAATCATTTAGTGGCATGATAAGTATGGAATCCTTGGATCTCTCCCAAAATTATTTGTCTGGAGTGATTCCAAAGTCCTTAGAGTTACTTGTCCAAATGGAGTACATTAATCTTTCATACAATTTATTGCATGGAGAAATTCCAAATGGTGGGCCTTTTCCTAATTTTACATATGAATCTTTTATGATGAATGAAGATCTTTGTGGGGAGCCCCAGCCAAACGTCCGTCCATGCAAAAAAGGAAACAAGCACATCTCAACTAAAATATTGCTTGTCATCAAATGCTTATTGCCTATAGCTTCTGCAATCATTTTGGTTGCCTCATGCCTGATGTTTCTTAAGTTTAAGAAGGGTCATGTTAGTCATGAGATGAATAATAGAGACTCCTTAAATTTGGATACAGTGGCTAAGATATCCTATTATGATCTTTTGCAAGCAACAAATGGGTTTGATGAGAGTAATTTTCTTGGCAAGGGAAGTTTTGGATTAGTCTACAAAGGCATTCTTTCAAATGGAAAGATAGTTGCTGCAAAAGCATTCAACTCAAACTTGCAAGAAGCATTAAAAAGTTTTGACATTGAATGTGCTGCCATATGCAATTTACGTCATCGAAACCTTATTAAGATCATTAGCAGTTGCTCAAATGGTGATTTTAAATCTCTCGTAATGGAATTCATGCCAAATGGAAGTCTTGAGAGATGGTTGTACTCCCATAACTACTGTTTAGATATAGTGCAAAGATTGGACATAATGATTGATGTGGCATCAGCGTTGGAGTATCTTCATTATGGTTCTCCTATCCCAGTGGTCCATTGTGATGTGAAGCCGAGCAACGTTTTATTGGATGAAGATATGGTGGCCCATTTAAGTGACTTCGGAATTGCCAAATTGCTAATTAACCGTCAATCAGAAATTTATACAGAAACTTTGGCTACAGTTGGTTATATGGCACCAGGTAGTAATTTAGCACTTATATTAAGTTTTATTTAATTTATGTTTCTTATATTCATTTATGCCTATATACACTTGCACAAACAAATATGCTTATATACGTACGTGCATATGCTAGAAGAAACTATAAGTTATTCAACTAGTTAATTTAGCACTCAAATTTATATGTAGAGTATGGATCAAAAGGAGCAGTTTCAATGAAAGGAGACGTATACAGCTTTGGTATTTTGCTTATGGAAATGCTTACAAGGAAGAAGCCAACAGATGAGATGTTTACTCAAGATCTGAATCTGAAAGAATTTGTTAGCAAATCAACGCCACATTCAATCATCAATATTGTAGATGTCAATTTGCTGCACACAAGCAACCAAAAAATTGGTAATATATTGCTGCATATATCATCAATTTTTGAGTTAGCCCTAAATTGTTGCGATGATGCACCTGAGGCAAGACCTAATATGTCAGAGGTTGTGGTGTCACTGGGAAAAACCAAGGTCATATTAATGCAAAATATTCAAGGAACCACTAGCTTGTTGGATAAATGTTAAATCAAAATTTATCTGCAACAATCTTTCACCCTTTGGATTATATTGTTCTATTGTGGGAACATATATGGAGAGTGATGATGTCTCCTGTATTAATATATTAATGGTTTGAAATTTGAGAATTTTGAACTGCGCATCTGGGTTTTGGTTGTCTCAAGTTAGTCTTTATGTGTTAGAAATGTACTTTGAATAACAATATAATTCATTCCATTTTATCTTGAAGATAACTATACAAAGTTTGGAAATTATTGTCTTTTTTGGGATTCATCCAACGTCCTGAGATATTCGAATTAAGAATCTGAATGAAAGTGACATGAATAGACTTGTATGAGAACGTTAAACTATGGAAGATAGGTGTTAAACTGAACTCTGTGCTCTGTTTCTATGGCTATCATGAACATCCATTGATTTGGGTTATTCTGGGCAATGATTAACTGGGAACTTTGAGTCTGGAAAAGAATAAATCAAAGATTAATAACTGAGGAAGATTTGCATTCAAATAATGGAGCATAACAGTTTTGAAGTTCTAGGAATCAGTGAAAGAGGAAAAACATAGTAGGAAAGAAGGGGTCAAAATCGATTTCATGTAAGAAATCGATTTTTTCATTGGCACAGAAATCAATGTTGCGTTGCTGGATTTGAAGGAAGAAGACACACTTGTAATGAAATCGATTTGTGCAGACGTGGGAAGAGAAAATTAGCGGCAAAATAGAGTTAAGAGAGAAAGGGAAGATGAAACGGGGATGTTTTGGGTATCTTATATCTTATTTTTTATTTTTTAAAAACTTATTATTTATCTTTTTTTAACCCTTTCTTTTTGTGTACGAGGTTCTAGTGCTCAAGGCGGAATGTCTTCATTACATACTCTCCCACTTACTCTTCATTTAATTAGAATACAGAGTTTAGGATGAAAAAAAAAATCTGGTGAGTCCCCCCCCCCCCCCAAATCTAATGTCGTCCCTTACAAATTCAGCTGCTCGTGTTCGTCCATCAGAAAGTGGTATGTGAGCAGAAATCATCGGAGAAAAAAGAGGTGTTCGTCGGTTTATATGCATCCCTTTTAAGTTTTAAGTTTTTGGCTACTGGCTTCTCATAATCGTTTAACCAGAAAAATAATACTAAAAAAAAGGGCCATTTCGTTTCCATTCTTACCATACTAACCTTGGTAGTTCACACTTTGTATCATAGATCAAGGAAAAAGTGATAAAAGCCCCCAAGCCATTCGATGAACTATGATAATATCATCTTCGGTTCTTAATATAAGAGCTAGTTGACTAATTTGAGTGAATTAAGAAAGTTAGTTAAGTTAGTTATTTGTAATAAATGCATGTTATCTTTTTCAAAATATCCTTACTAATCAAGTATACTGGTTAGAACTACTATTATTATAAATACTACCTTTAAAAAAATGAATATAAAAGACAAAGTGGATTATTATATTATATTTATGACCAAAAACAAAAGTCAAATGAGTTCTTATATTAAGGACAAAAGGTAGTAATATAAATATATATATATATATATATATATATATCAGAGGCTGCCTGTTTGGATAAAAAAATCGAGAAACATGTCTCAAAAATGTATCAGATCAAACAAAAAAGAAGTCCTAATTTATTCAAATGAATAATTAAAACATGAATGCACAGAGTCAATAAAAATGGTAGACAGATATAACTGGAATAAGGATCCTCTATTCCAAGAAGTTGCTTCATCTCATCGGATATGAACAAGAACGAATCTCATCGAATCATATTCAAAGGCCACCATGATGGACGAGGATGATGAAGAGCTCTGAACATTTAGAAATCTCTTGGGGGGTGATGGAGGAATAGAGAAAAAAAATAACGGTGGCTAAAATGAAATTACAAGGAAGGCTCAGGGTTTGTTTGGATTGATTTATAAGTAGCTTTTAAATGTAATTTATGGAATACGAGAATAAGTATGTGAAGAAAGTTTATCTCGGCTTATGTAAACTTACTTAAAAGTCTATTTTGAACGAAACTCCAAACAAGCTCTTAGTGTCATTGCAAAAAGAGATGATCTAGATTTTGTTTTTAACCCTAGACACTATGTTTTAACTAAATGGAGAATAAGTGGAGAGAATATGCAATGGAGACATTCCGCATGGCTATAAATTTTTTCTTTCTTTTCCATTGGGTTTCCTTCGCTTCTATTTCCTTCCTTTCCATCCAACGCATGAGTAGTACTACTTTAAAAACTTATTTATTGCATGCATTAATAAATTTTTAAGACTTTTATAATTACATGTTATTGGATATATTTATTAGATTGGAATACATGGGGTCTAAAGAATAAATACTATTGTTATTAAGATTTCAAAAGGTTTAGAAAAATTTCTCTTTAAAAAAAAAAAAAGGAAAAGTCCCTTCACATGAAAAGGCACGTATCTCTCCGGTGAAATATTTGGTAAACCCCTCAGTTGCTTTCATTTTTTTTGGTACCAAAAAAAATTTAAGTGAATTGGATCCTGAAAACTTATTAGAATTAAGGTATACCAAAGCAACAACCAAAAAAATTTGGATTGTCATGTCGAGCCGAAGTTTCCTTTGATGACCACCCTCATTCATTGTGACCCTAACAAAGCCTATCTTACATCAACCCAATTGATGAAGTGGGCCACTACCAAGACCATTATATGTAGTTACGTAAATGGCCTTGGGCTTTGGTTTACACATGTCATTATTAAAGTGTCCGACAGTCCACGGTTGCAAATTGCCTACGTATTTATACTTTAAAGAGCAGATATAACTTTTTTGCACCGATAAGAGTTGGGTCTAATAAAAAAAATTAGTCTCTCACAATATAACGAATCAAGGTTCAAATCTCCGTTTAAAGAGGTACTTATATTTAATATCCGATAGTATCTTGAAAGAGATTGCTTCCAATAAACCAATATCTATATTTTTGGAGGGAACTTTTTATTAGAAGTACCTTTTTAATATCCAATAGTATCTTGAATAGGATGCCTCTGATAACAAATTTCTATATTTGGGGGGAGGGGGAAAAAGCCGAGAAGGGACTGGGGCTCTCAGTATTATGATCACCACGTGTCACTTCGCCATTCGGTGTTTCGTTGCCCTGAGGGGCATGTGAAGAATTCCATGTAGAGACTCTGTCATCGAGAACTCTCAAAGCCTTTTGCACGAAAAATTATCTTGGGAAGCTCGAGAAATGTGAGGAAGTTTTTGTTTTGGCGAATCGGAAATTAGCATTCCTTGTTTCATCTGAGAAAGCTTAAGAAAATGCCTAGAAACGGCGAGGAAGAGAGCGTTCCCAGAACTCCGTCGAGCACCCCCCGTCAGAGCCAGACCGGATCCTTTCTTGGTAGCGTGTAGGTGCTTCAGTTTATTGACCTGTTTGGCTGCCGTCTTTGCATCGCCGTCAAATCCTCTCTGCTGTGCACTCCTCAAGAAACGGATCTGTAGTGCGTTACCTTTTCTTTCCCTTATACGTATTAGATTCAATTTGACCTCATCTTGTTTTCGCTGTTCGTTTCTCATTGTTGTGAGTGGGTTTTAGGTTTTCGATGGCAATATTCCGGTGTTACGCTGTTTGATAGCTTTTGTTGTGGTTGTGGCCGAAACGGAATGGAGTTTCATACCAAGTTCTGGCAGGTTCCTTTTGTGGACGTTACAGTTTAATTTATCAACTTCCTGAGTAATTTGGTCATTAGGTGTTAATGATCATTATAACTGTGTGGATTCATTTGAATTTCTGCTTGCTGGTGTTATCTTAATGTTGTTTCTAATGTCTAAGTAAATTTTGCTGTATTTTACAGGTTTTGGGATACTGGGCTGGCAAGGGTATGCTGCAGATTTGTATGTCTCTCTTGACTGTAATGATTTTCGGGTTATCTTTTCCAATAGGTTCTTCTAATGAGCTTATTTTCATTTGCCTTGACCTCTGACACTTTAAACATCAACGTATAAATTGTAACTTATACAAGTATTAAACATGTTGAGTTGGTGAATTCTATCTGGGGCAACGGCAGACTTCTCGTATTTATTGGCTTTGGCCACTTACAGATGCTCAGATTAATGACAGATATTATTAATTATTAATATGTTGTTTGAATTCTGCCAAGCCCATCTAGTGATACAATGAAGGTTGTTTTTGCATAATTGCATTGTTTGAATTCTTGAAAATGTTGTGAGACTGAGCACTGAATAGGAGGGAATTATGTTTTTATTTTGTTTTTCCCCCCCGTAGAGGAATGAGTCTTAGCCTAAAAATCAGACAAACAGTTACAATAGAACAAAACAAAAAAAAAACAAGCAAAAACCACGGAACAATCAGCCACTCTATCTACTTGAATTCCCCATCTATCAGCAAAACATAAAAGGCTAATTTGTCCCACAGTCCCTCCATACATGCGTGCCAATGCTTAGCTCTAAAATCATATTGGTTATGTTATCTGCCACCTTATTCTCCTCCCTCAACACGCGAGTGAACTTCAGAATCCAGTCTTTCCTCCTCCAACTGGATCATCTGCAACAAAGATCCAACAATGGCACCCTATCCTCTTCCTCTATTTTTCAAACCTTCACCTTCAGTATTCCAACACTGCTCCGAACCTACCAAAACATTCCCACAACTCCGCCTGATATGCAGAACAATAGCCCAGATTTTTGTGCGACCCGTACCACTCAGATTTTTTTCTGATGGGCTTTCTGATTCTACTTTTCTCTTCCTCGGTGGGTACCAACTCAGGGATGCTCCACGTCCCAATCTTACGCTCCACCTCCTTGACTCCTACCTTCCTCGTCTTCTTCCACTCCTCCAACTCCCTTATCCATCACATTGGCACTTGCCGCCCTTCTGACTCCATCGTTCATGTCTGGCTATATGAGCGACCCTTCCTCCAAAATCCCAGAGCTTCCACATTCTGCCTTTTTTTCATACCTGATCCACCGGCATCGTCAACAGATTCGACCTTCCGTTTACTCGTTGGAGGAGATCTGCCACCTCCGCCGTGAGCC